GCCTCCTATAAGGAAGACCGAAGAAATTTGATACTTTTGAGTTGTGGTGTTGGCGAAGAATACTGAAAGTAGAATGGACTGCTAAAAGAACTAACATATCTGTCCTGGAAGAAGTGCAGCCAGAATGTTCCTTGAAAGCGAGAATGGCCAGACTTCGTCTCACCTACTTTGGTCATGTTGTCAGAAGGGACCATTCTCTGGAGAAGGATATCATGCTTGGTAAAGTGGAAGGTCAGTGAAAGAGGGGAAGGCCCTCAAAGAGATGGATTGACACAGTGGCTGCAATGATGGGCTGAGGTGTAGCAGGGATTGTGAGGCTGGCACAGGACTGGGCAGTGTTTCGTTCTGTTGTACATAGGGTCACTATGATAATATAGTCAGACCCCAAGGAAAGGGAGGGAAGGGCTGAGTCAGTGGGGAATTAATGAAAAGGAAAGACGAGCAGGAACTGCTGATGCTGGTAGATATCAATTTTGTGTGATATCCTATGCCTTCTTCAGAATGGGAAGGCGACGGCAGATGGAATCCACTGGATTTGCCAATGGCCTATCAAGGTACGTGACTGAAATCTGCTGGGTACAAATTTGTTTCTAAATCCTTTCCAGATGCTTTATAGTAAACATGAAATCACTCATTCACATGGAAGAGGTTGAGGAAGTCGTTAAAACTGAAGTCAGCGATTAATCTAATAAAAAGCCATTTAGCCTGGAGAAGGAAGGGAAAGGTAAGGAAGACAACCCTCCCCCAATTTTCTCCATGCTTGGGGGTTGGTGGAGGGACCTTGACTTTTCCTCAAATGGTTTTCTTTTTTGGAGATACTTCTAAAGGAAGTAAGTCTACTGTGACTTGAACAAACCAACTGGCTCTGGAGGGAAAATCCTCCTCATTTCACAAAGGAGACATATGAAGTCCTCAGAGTAAGCTGACTCGCTGCAGCATCATGGGGGAAATCCAGGATTATAGTTTAAGACCCTCAGCCCCATGCTCCTGTTGCTGACTGCAAAATTCATAATTCAGTCTGGGACTTCATTTGACATGTCTGAGCCACTCTTTTATTGCAGGTTGATATTGTTGTTGTTATGTGCCGTCAAGTCGGCCCCGACTCATAGCGACCCCTCCTTGGGTTTCTGAGGCAGTATCACTACAGAAGTAGGATTGCCCAA